ATAAATGTGCTAAATAAATTAGCAAAATTTTGATAAGAACGAATGTCAGGTGAATTTTTGACGGAAGTACTAGAATTTATAGTTGGCAAAACGACCTTTGAAAGCCAATAAAAAATAGCAACATTAGTATTCAAATATTGTGTGTTGCAGCCTTCTGATGAACTCTGATTGATGTTTGATTGATGGCTGGTGAAATTTTTAAAATATATCTATATATAATATAACTATTATATATAGTTTACACTTTGTTTGACTGCCAAAATTGACATGTTTTGTCCGCCTAAACAGCCTTCAAAACTGCTGAGAATAACAATAATAAATGGAATTGAAGTTTATTTAGGAAACATGTTTCGTCTTTAAAAACATCGACTAAGATGTGTTTAGGAATTTAGTATATGTGTAGTTATTTATAAATATATATATAGCCCGAGGCCCAGAAACGAGTTTTCTCTTGTGATATCATTGATAAGATATCGTATGCCAATAGTTTGGCTGTCATTTTGACAGTTCTGTCATTTGTTTTGGCATTATATTAATTTTAATTGGACACGCATTTTAGTCAAGAGGAGGGGGCCTTAGTGAGCTTTATTAAAAGTTCCCACAGCACAGCTGCTGCCATTGTTTTGCCAGCTGTAATGAGCACACGTCATAGGCTTTAGTTAGATTTTAATTTTGATTTTTGTTCTTCTGGTTTTGAGTCTCTGACAAATTGACTAATGCATTTTTAATGAACTACAAGAAGTCGCTTATGACATCACTTGATGGGCTGCTCTGATTTCAATTATAAACGACTCCGGAATTCATTTAATTTTCGTCAGATGTGATGTGATAATTAAACCAATCCGCCTTTCACAAAAGCTAAAGCCCAATTTCAACAGAATCCTTCGCTTGGCATTTAAGGATTGCCCCTTGATAAGCTGTGTTTGCTTATGCTGTTGGGGTATTTTAATTTTAGCACAAGGTTTGTAATCTCTGAGAAACATTGATTAAGTGTGTATCAAGAAGTGAGTTGATATAGACATGACTCCTAACTGTATGATTATGTCTCTTTAGGGAGTTTTTGAGTTAAGTACCACACTGACTTAAATATTTTTATTAACTACATAAAGTCGAACTATCGACTATATCACAGAATTGTCATGCCATGATTGCCATGACTTATCTATATATACATATAGCATACTCTACTTATGCACATTCCATCAATAGAAACCTTTCTCTGTAAGAGTCTTTAGTCTTCGGTTAATTCATCATTTTTGATTTCCTCTTTAATACAAAACGCAACGAGTGGGAAATGACCCGCATGACTTGCTGCAGGCCAAGAACCTTAAGCGGCATTTCATAGTTGATTTATTTTTCACAGGCTGCAATGTTGCTGGAGCTCTGGCTGTGGCCCCAAGGTCAGGCATGCGGCGACGACCCCTCAAGTTCAGCCTGGCCACGTAGTCAAAAAGTCATTCAACTGTTGTCCGGGTACTCGACGATAAGCTTACATAAGCATCCGCCTCCGTATCAAGGCGTTGCATGCAACGAACATGTTTTTTGGGGCAGCTGCCGGGATGCTGCCTGGCTGCCTGGCTGCAGCAGCTTGCATCAAGGTCGACTTGTGTAAGAGCAGCAGAAAGGCGGACAGGACAGGAAACTGAATCACGGTGAATCATGCGCAGAAATTGAGTGAGCCTATGTAAGGCAGGTCACCTTAAATATTTAATTGATGGCCCCGCCAACTTGTGGATATTTGGTAAAAGGCTTGAAGTCGTCCGTACGCTTGAGTCAGCGCGAGAGGCTTGAGGCTTCTCAGTTGCGAGTCTGGGGCAGGCATTGACATTTGATATTTTTGCGCACGAATAAACTGTTCCGACTCGTCAAGGGGATTGCAATTTACAGGCTTTCTAAATTTGGCCAGTTGGCTGAAAATGTTGGCCAATCGCCGAACGATTAAAGACAGCAATTGCGATTTACTATACCTGTCGACCAGGCCTCTCGTCGCATCTCATCGGCCAGCACGCATAAAATATCTCAAACTATTGGCCATTTGTGAGATACAAACAGAAGATACATATTTGTCAGACTTATTTCGAATGCTGTTAGCTATTGCATAAATTATACAAAATATTTAACTTGTTTTTCGACTTTAATTTGCTAGTTTCTGTTCTCATCAAAGGTCGTTTCCAATATAAGAAACAATTTTTGTTTTTGTTTTTTTTTTTTTCTGTGGTTAAGCAAGAGCCAAACGCGTGGGCTCTTACATATATATTTTTATATATTATAATAATAATATATATATATTTTGCCAAATTTATATTCATATTTTGAATTTTATTTGTCGCCATTTCTCAGCGTCAAAAGTTACATTTAAATGGGTTTTGCCAAAAATTATTTTTCATAAATTTTACTCATATTTATTTTTTTTCTTTTCTCAATGAAGTGCTGTCAAAAACGCATTTACATATGTAAATGCAAGTATATAAATATTAAAAAATTAAAACACAAAAATAAAACAAAGTGTACCCATTAAATACGCATAAAACTCAATTTTTTGTTCAGTTTTGCTTTCAATATTTTTAAGGCACAGCTTGAAATGCTTGAATGGGGCTCAATATATTAATTTATGTGGGGCCACATGCTTTATAAACAAGCAGATATTTATTTTTAAACCCAAAAGTAGGTGGATATATAGTAGATACAAAATATTAATGGCAACAAAAATAATAACTGGTTCAGACGCTAAAGGCTTGTAGGGCATTGATATGACCTTAAGAAATTCTATAAAAAAAAAGAAAAAATTAAAAAAAATTCTACTGAATTTTATTTTGGATATCGAATTGACAAAAATGTTAAATTATTTTTTTTTTGAATGTAATATTTTTTAAGTTCTTAGTTATTTAAATTTGATATAATTTTTAAATTCTTAATGCTACTTTTATTACTTTTCTTAGTTTTAATTATTATTTTTAAACAACAAACTTTATTTAAATTAAAAATTACAAAAATATTTTAAATTACTTATATTTTTTTATTAGTAATTATTTTAGGATTTGTTTTTTGGGTCAATATTTTATTTTTAGGAAACTTGGTTGTTAGCCAGCAGCAGCTGATATACGATATCAGTTTGTTCTTAATATTTTTGCTGATTCCAGCCGACTAACTAATTCTTGTTCAATTCGCAACAGATTTGAAGCTAAAAGATTAAGGAATACATTTCTTATATATATTCCCCTGATCTATTCAGCTAAGAATAAATTCTGATGTATAATATACTATTCAATATAATCGAAAAACTATACACCCAATCTTCAGCTTTCAGTTTGAATTCATACAGAGGCCCGCTTGCTAAAAAGCTAGTATACCCGCTCGGACTTAGTGAATGAGTGCCACTGTAGGCCCTGTGCAGATTATCGCTGACAACTGCTGGACTACATGGTGTGCATCGATTTGTGTTGTCGTCTTTGGCTTTTCATTTATTGTTCACACACATTTAGCTAAAGATTTTATATAAATATTTCAGTCTGCTGGTTGACTTTGCCTTGACTTAAGCATTGTCGTTAACTTCATCCTGTTTACGAAGCCACTGCTTATATTAACTGTGTCAATTGCACGTTTCAAGAGCAACAACTGCGTTTAGTTTGCATGAAATTAGCTAAGTATTTCCTTTTAGCAAGAATATTGCGTATACGCAATGCGTGCGCTTTGGCTTAGTGTCACCAGTGGATGAGCAACTTTTCACGACATTCCAAATCCTAAAGCGGTTTAGCAAACGGAAGCATGTCGTTCATCAAACCGATGCCACTTGAGGTGTCTCAATTAAGCCAAATGGATTAAGATTTGGCTAATCAATTTCCCATATATGATCTCAGCGCTTGGCTACTGTCTGAGTTCATTTAATCAAATTAAAAACGATGCGTACTAAAGAAAATATTCTGGTCTTTGGATAGTAATTTATTCTAATTATGGCGCACAGCTCGATAACAATTAATACGCGGAAATCAAATATCGCATTCGCAAAATGAGAGAAAACAAAAAATAAGATAAACAGAAAAAACGGCGCTATTATGTAAGCATTAATTTAATCAATAAAACTAACTAACTATTTTTAAGCTGCTGCACACATTTGATATTCAAATATTCTAGCCGAGCTGGGCTAGACTGATAACCGGCTGGAGACATAGCAAACAAAAAAAAGTACAACAACAACAACAAAACATTCTTAGGTGGCTACTATCTATGGCCAATAGATCAGTTTTCGATTAATGCTAAAAATTAAGTCAAAACAAACAGGAAAAACTCGAATTTTCAATTAAAGACAAAGACTTTAAAATAAAATAAATATAAATTCTTTTACGCAAAAAAAAAAAAAAAAAAAAAAAAAAAAAAAAAAAAAAAAAAAAAATATAAAGAGGAGAAAAAAAGAAAGAAAAACAATAAATCTTAAAGAAAAAAATCTCAATATTCCTAATGAAGAATCGAAACCTGAAAGTGAAGCTGAATTCTTGAAACACGCAAATCGTGGCGTCTAAGTAGGGGTAGTCCGTGTCAGTCTCCGCCAGAGAGATAAACAGAGAAAGAGAGCGAGAGAGAGGGAGAGACAGAGGGAGAGAGTGAGAGAGAGAGAGAGATAGGGAGAGAGAGGGAGTAGCAAATTTGTTGAGTATACGAACCGAAGCTCAGCTGCAACTAAGTTAAGCTCATCTCTTGCTCTCGCCCATATAAATTAACAAAAATTCATCGAAACAAAACTTGTTTCGAGCTACGCAAATCACAGAGAAACACACACACGCAAACACACGCATACACACGCTTACACTGAGGCACGCACTTTGACAAGTCACACACAGAGAAGCTGACAATTCAACTGTCACTGGAGCTGCTCCCCAACTCTCATTTGTATTGGTGGATCGCTGCTCTCCGAATGGGAATTTTGGTCTTTTTCTTTCCGATGTGTGTGTGTGTGCCTTTTTTTCCATATTTTATTTTCAGCTGCGTTGTTTATATGGCAAAGACGCGCTGCGTTCATCTTCAGTTCGTACAGATCGGTCACCACGGTATGAGCTCTAGTTAGGCTCCCTTCCCCCCAAGTAAATACAGTAGTAGTGTTTGATCTACGCCAAAATTCCGTGCAAAGCCCGCAGATCCCAACTGAATCAAGAACTTGATAAATAAACTGTACTAATTCGCAAGGACAACAACAAAAAATTCAAAATTCTTAATTCGTGTCCCAATAACAAATCTGTGCAAATAATTATATAATATATATATATATATAAAAAAAAATATAAAAAAATATTTAAAAACTTTTTCTTAATTTTCTTTACATATTTCAAGATTGGAATTTGGATAATTGCAAAAATTTGTTAGATAGCAAATAAATAAAATAATTACTGGCGATTCTTGTGTCAATTTAAATTACGTTCGTTGCAAAATGGCGCGTGCAGCTTTATGCATGGTGAGTTAAGATTAAAGACTGAAAATAAATGAAAAAATAACATAAAAAATAAACATTTAATTTTAAATCTTAATAGAGCCTAAGTTAAGGAATGAGAAATATCTAAAAAATATCTATCTACGATTAGTTTTAATCACATCACATAAATATCGATTGATTGCCAATCATATGAAGTAATTATTATTATCATGCTATTACGAGCGTAATGCGATAATCAATAGCATCAGCTGCCGTTTTGAGTCACGGCCAAAAATTTAGCTCCCCGCCTGTGCGTACTAACACTTAGCGCTTAGCTAACAAATCGTAAGGAAAACAAACGAAATAAATGTCGAAAAGAAATACCGGTAGATGAGAAATGCAAATAAACAATCGAAATATGAGTTCAGGGCGTATTTGCTAAGAAATGCATGAAAGCCAAGGTTGATATCACCAACAAAATCATTGCGAATCTTTATTTGCTGCAGCCTCGGCTGTTAGGCCAGCTCTTCTTCTTCGTCTTTAATTTGGTCAAGTCCGGGTCAAGTTGTAACTATTTAGTTATTTATTTATGAATAGTGTTTTTCCAGGTGTTGCGTTTACTTAATATGTGTATGCGATAATAACCGGCATTTTTCCTTAGCCATAGTGCAAACAAAATATGAACGAGCCGGCGATCTGTGGGTATTTCGCGACTTGTTTGCTTTAGAGTCTCGCCTAGTTTTTTGAATATATTCAGTGTACATCTGAGCAAGTGGAGAATTAAAGGTCTTTAGTATATTTTGTCAGCTACTAAGCAGTAATTATTCAGTTATTTTATTTTTACTGTTCCTTTTTTTTAATACTTTGCGTCAGCTGGCAAAAATGCAAACTGACTGTAAAAAAAAAAAAAAAAAAAAAAAAAACAAATCACAACGAAATTTATTTGTATATTGAACAAAAGCACATTAAATGTTTTTTCAACCCATTAAATTAGTTAAAAATGTTGTATTTATTGGGTATTTGTTTAAAGGTGACTTATTTGCGTGTTCTTTGTTTGTTTGATATTGATTTTTATGCAAATTAACAAATTGTATTGTTGAAGGTTCAAAAGGTGTATGAATGCATATATGTATGTGATGGCATCTATATAATTATAAATAAATATATATACAGTCGACTCTAGATAATTTGTACCCCGCTAATCAAATATCGCGAAAGATCGAAAAAAATTCGAATCCCTTGAAAGAAATTCATTCTCTGTATTATTTATATTTATACATATATAGGCTAATATTTATATATATAGGCTAACTTATAGACATCAACTCAAATTCATCAAAAGCTTTGATTAAGTCATTTTAAGATCTTGAATTATTTTTGCTATAAGACACCCATCTAATATACATATAAGGGCTTTTCTATACACGGAAATATATTCCAAATTCCAAGTCTTAATTACTGGCATATATTTGGGCTTAACTAGCTTTGAGCTACGATATTTATTTATTTATTTTATTTTATTTTATTTTATTTTTTTTTTTGAGGCTAGAAATATGTGTGGCTCGAATTCCGCAGCAATAATAATTCAATAATTTGAGTGAACCACATATTAGTTTAAATTCTTAACACAACACGATTATTTCAAGGACATTGGGCCGCTTCATTAAAAACTGTGCTAAACTTCTTAACGTTTTTTCGCCAGTGCATGCTAATTGGCATAATTGCAAGCAGAGAAGAATAAAATTTGGAGCTTCGCTTGGCTTGAATTAATGAAGGCGAGTCGATGCGTGACACGAACAGAGCACGATTGAGCACGCCCGGCTCAGCTTATAAGCATCGCAGTTTCTAAGGCGACACAGGCAAACAATTTATGACAGGTAGCCAGCAAAATACCTGCAAAAAGGTGTCATATTGCCACTTTGAAGGTGCCAGTGATACACCTTCTGCCTAGACGTGCAGGTGACAAATATTTTGGGTATTATTGCTCACCAGACAAGTGCCAACAGCTGGAGGTGCACGTGCCACAGTTTCTTGACCCGTTGCTCTGCCTGTGGGGTTAAACGTGCTGCCCACCTATTTGTTGTGTATTTTTTTTCTTACCACAAAATTTACTTTTATCAAGATTTCTCTGTTCGCCATCAACGAGCTGCTAAACCAATTGCTGTGGGCTCTCTGGGCGCACTTTAGCCAAGTGCTGGCAGACACGTACGCGGCCAATTTGTTTAGCGACGACTTGAGCCGAATGCTGCCTGGGTTACATACTCTCTGTCAATGTGGTAATTGCTTGGCGACACAGTTTTGTGTTTTCCCTCTAATAAGTGGACTATGCAGTAGGAAGTTGGTAATTTAATACAGATTATGTGATTAACTAGCCGAAGTTCTTTGTGAGAGCATCTGCTCGTCGGTCGTTGTTCTTTTGCCATCTGTTTCTTCATGCTCACTTGTATTTCCTCTAAGCGAGGTTGAGGCTGGAATTTTAAGAAGTTGAGAATTTCTTTTGTGTGCTGCACTTAAAGATTTCGCATTTAGATAACTGTCGGCCCGTGTAGCATCATTCCTGCAATGATATCTGAACAATTTGGTATCTGTATCTGCATCGGTGTCTGTGTCTGTGTCTGACATTCCGTGTGACGCATAAATGTCGATGGCCTAGCCAAATGTTTAGCATGCTAGGCGAGAACTAGTTTTATGGGCTTTATTTGGGTCCATAAACACAGTGCCAAACTGTTGATTGCTTTTTACAGTTGCTCACAGAGTTGTAAAGTATCGCATATGTAGGTATGTATACAGGTTTGCTCATGAAAAATAGTAAAACGAATGTTGGACAACAGATTTTAGTAATAGATCTATATATATGTGTATATGTGTGTGTAGTTAGTTTTAAAAGCTATTTTCTTAGCTCTTCAGTTCCTTAATGACGCTCGTTGAACTTAGCTCGTGATATAACAATAAATTTCGCTTTCAACTATGCGATTACCTCATTTTTATCTGCTAGCTCTTACTATCAATAGATTCTTAATTCACATTCACTTTTAATGGCCTCTCATTTCTTTGCATTTAACTCGTGAACTTGGTAGCTTTGAGCTCATCAAGAGCCAAAGTAGCTTTTTATCTAATATTTGTCCATAATATGAAATCGAGAAATGCAAATTAGGTATTTTGATATTCGTCAGCGATTAAAAAATAAACAAAGCAAAACAAAATGCAAATAGCCAAAGACAAAATGAAGAACTAAGTTTTGCATGTTTTGAGCTTTTCTCGTTTGAATAAAAACGAAAACGTTATACACCAAACACAAATTTGATATATGTGAGCGGAGATGATTCCTTGAAAATGTCAAAAGTCGCTGGAAAGAAAGTAAAAGTCAAAAATATATTTATTTATATAATTATATATATATATTTATATAAATAGTCTCTCTGTTTGCGTAGCGCCTCAAATATTTTTTTATTTATTTCATTTTTTTTTTTGGGTAACAAATGATGTCAGCTTGCTTGACTTGTTTTAATTAGAGGTCTGAATAGCATTTGTTTTAAATGCAACAATTAATTAATTCTTTTCGGGATGCCAAATATACTATTATTGCTGCACTTCTCTCAATTCACTCCATGTGACATTAGATGATATCAATGAACCTATTAGCGCCATTCCTCCCATATCCTAATCTGTACTCGACAAACAAATTCTGCGCTAATTAAATCAGTCTCTGGATGAAATGGAAAAACCCAAATAAGGGCATTGTCCAGAGCGGGTAAGACTCGTTTGTAGCCGTTTATTGTACTACCATGTCAGAGCAGAGCTTCTACAGATTTGTTTTTGTTCGACCTGCTGCTGGCTTGACTCAATTTTTGGCAACTCAAAATGGTACTGCTTATACATATATAGTAATATATATATATATACGTATATATATGTATGTGTGTATTAAGTCTGATTCAGGGACTTTTACATTTCACAATGCATTTTCATTGAAATTTCGAAATTTCATCATAAGCTCAATCAAAATTTATGAACTGCAGCTAAGCAATTTCAATAAAATGCATTCGCTGTATTGTATGTAGTTTTTTTTTTGGTCTTGTATGTTGTCATCGATTAAGGCCAGACACAGCCCAAAGCAGTTGCATTTTATGATAAAAGCTGAAAATATCTATATATATATATTGCTTGGCAGTTATTGGCGCTGTCTTTTGCGCACAATTTTGTTCAGCACCAGTTACCAGATGCCAATTGACCTTGAAGTGTAAGTCCATAAGATGCTAAAAAAAAAAAAAATCGTACATATATAGGTATACGTATATTTATATATATATATACCGAGATTTTGTCGACGCTAAAAGGGCAAACAGCAGAGCAGAGTTGAGTTGCTGTGAGATTGAATTCGAAACCTGTTTGACGATAACGGTCCACAATGCTTGGGGGATAGTGTGGATGATGCTCATCATTATGCTAATCATGATGATGTCGATGCTGCCGATGCTGCCGATGATGCTGAAGGTGCTGATGATGTTGATGATGTTAATGATGTTAATGTTGTAGCAGCGGCATGTTAACAAACTGTGCGTGCGAACAACTCCATTAATATGTTGCATATGGCGGCTGCCTCTGTTGGACCGCCCAGCTGTCTCTCCGCACATGAAGCCACTGACAACTTATGCAAAACTATGCAAAGATTCATGGCGCATTGTATATTGGAGCCAGAGCGAGGCAAGGCTGGCAGAACTTTTGGGTCATAGCCATATGTTCATAGCGCTTGACGTCGTGGACTGGCTTGAATGATATACGAGCAGCAGAACTTGTTGATGCTGCACGCACTGCAACAAAATGAACTTTTAAATGCCGCCGATTCGCGCCTCACAAAGTCTTGCCTCTGACTTGCCAACTGGCCCACATGCCAGGCGCATTCAACTAAATTATTAATTTTGTTGTTTTTTTTTGTCTTCTAGAATTGATTTAACTTGAAGTGCGATTTGACGGCTTGCGTCATGCATGAATTTCATGAGAGGCAAGCCGAAATTTGGGGCATGCCACATGAGCTGAGCTGAGCTGCCAGATAAAGCCACAATCACTAATTATGCATAACAAATGAATGCGATTCACTTTTACCCATAGCAATGGCTTAAAGCTTACATAATTGCCCATGTGGGCGGTCATCGAGGTGGGCGCGGAGAGCCAATTAATTGAGTTATTTATTGGATTTGGCTAATTGAGAGGGTTTGCCTTAATATCCCGCAGCTCCAATTCGTTCGTTAGCTACTTATATTAATGCAGTTTCTGATCAACTTTGCCTTTAATATGATTGGGAAGTCTTCATAAATAAATACTTGATTTCATAATAAACTATTTGGTTTGCAAAGCACTTTAAACCGCTTTCAAGTTGGCCGCAGCTCAGACCCAATTTCATTATTCAGTTACATCAATCATAACTTTTGTAGTTATTTATTTATAAGTTGCGGCCGCAGATCCTGCAGATACATTATATATAAATTGTTTTTTTTTTTTTTTTATGTAGAATTTGATGAACAGCTATTACGCCCTTGTTTTACCCTTTTTTGTTGCCAAACTTTGAAGCTAGCACATTAATAATTTCATTTAGTATAAAGGTCATTGCTGTAAATGATTCATGAACAGAAGAAGCAGAGCAATATGTGTTGCTGTTGCCCACATCGCACAAAAAACAGTTAAAGCTGCCGCCGTTGATATGTGGGTGACACGGCGACCTCTCCTGTCAGCAGCTGCAATAAATGAATAAAAAATAATTTGAAAACAAATTTAAAAACAAATAAGCAGACACGGGCTGAAAAATGATTTTCAAGTTGATTATATACACAAGCAATTGATTTGTGGAGATTTTGGAGCAGGCGAACAGGTAGCCAACACCTCGATGGCACCAGCAGCATCGGTTGCATGAATTATGAATTGAATATTGAAGAATTTTCGCAACAATCGGCAGGCAGCCTTATATAAATACACTATAAGCGTATAGCTAAGCCGTTTGATTTCCAGCCTCGTCGGCCATTAAGACAATCGAATTTGCATTAATGATATGCGAATGCAGACAGACGTCATTGAGGGCCTCCACGGCTTCCGAACAAAGTGTTAGACGAGTGGCTGAAGTCTTTAGCCTCCTTCGATTGGTTTCGTTTGCTTGGCATTTGATGCGATTCGAACTTATTGATAATGATATATATGATATAATCTCTTGGTTATGTTTATATATATACATATAAATGATTGACCTTATCGCATATCAAATTTGATTACCCATTTGGCTCGTTGGCATCGATTTGCTTATGCAGAGGGTCTTAAATCTAGCATTAAACGGCATTGTCTACGCTTGAGTATTATTAATGGGCTACATAAATTATAAATAAATAATTTAAAGTGTGTTAGTTATACTTTACGATCAATTGCCGTTGCATTTAGCAGGGCGTTACCGCAAAAATTTCTGTTAGCCTTAACCCTAGCGCGCCCAGGTTTTGTCGACGCGCCCAAACACTGTCGAATGAAAGAAACCAATTTCAGTTGAAGACAATAGAAACAGTAAAATAAAATAAGAAAATATAGAAGTAAATAAATTACCTAATATATTCATCATGAAAAATTAAATAGCAAATTGTAAAAACTAATAAATTATTTGGCTTAGTTTGAAGGCCATTGCCAAATTGTTTATAGCTCTCGGCTAGCCTCGAGAGCGTTGTCTCCATCGAGAGAGACATATATTTAAGAATTATTGCTTAATGAATTCTACTATATTAGTCGATAGTAGATTGGTCCAACATAGAACTGGTTTCTTTGTAAGGAAGTTTTTATTTGAGCATTGCCGGAACTGTAGATAAGTTATATGCTGTGTGCGTGTGTATAAATAAATAAATATGTAAATTCAGATGTATTCATAAAGATTACCGCGATAAGATATTCAATTCGGGTTTTTGGGTATGCACTGGCCAACTCCACAGACCGATGGACCGATGGACGGACAGTAGTCGTAGTCGCGCGGACTCTCTGGTATTTAGCTAATAGAAATTAAAAGCAATTCACTTTGGATTTATTTGGCTGTCGTACGAACTAAGCTAATTGACCATTGCTGTCAGTAAATCCATTAAAATCAACTGGTTTCTGTCCCCTTCTTCTTCTTGTTCTTCTTCACATTTTGTAAAGTATTGGCGCTGACATTTCTCAGCAAGTACGCAAATAGCCAATAGAGGTACAAATATATATATATATATATCTACGTGCTTTGTGTGCAGCGTAAAGCAATTTGCTGCGACAAATGCGCACAAAATTGACTTGGAAGGTGCAGCTAAATAAAAGTAAACCGCAAATCCAGTTCGACAAACAGATTGTCATCAACTTCTGACGCCTGACAGACCCGAAAAAATAAACTTGACTGAAGACAAGAATTTAAATACTAATACCAATATACGTCTACATATACATACATACATACGCCTTTGACATTTTACCTGCCTATATGACATTATTTGGTTGCTTTAATTTTGCAAACTAAACGTATCGAACCGGATCTAAAAGGTGTCTGATTTGCATACAAACATACAAATACCAACAACAACAGTAACAGAAACAACAGTAATAGAAACAATAGCAAGAAGAAGAAGAGTGAATTCCTCAGACGGACTGCCTTGAGTGAGGCATCACAACTATTTATTGACTCATCTCTGGTCTATGTAAATTAAGTCAATAACCAAAATAATAAAAGAAGACAAATCTCTATGTTAAAAGCAAAAGTTGTGGGCGTGCCGCGAATGACTCTGTAATGACAATAAGGCGTGAACATTTATCTTAACAACGCCATTTGACAGCTGTTCATTTGGGGTTTCTTACCATTTTAGTGATATGCATATACATATATAGAGAGAGATAATGTATATATCTAAGAGTTACTCATATAACATCTGCTCTTTTTCTTTACTATTCACAGGTCGTCGCTTGCATATTGTTGCAATGCGTTTACTCTGCCAAATTCGATTCAGAGAATCGACGATTGATCGTCGATATCAATGATAAAAAGACAACGAACCAACAATATTATTCGTCAAACTTTGACACAAGTAAGTAATCACGTTTTACAATTTGTATCACATATCCACGCTTACTCACATCGAGAAACCCGATTCGATCTGAAACTATATACCAAAATTGTATTTCCCACACATCCAAATTGTAATATATTAGTTTGAACAATCTGTATCATCGTATCGTATCTATATATGTAAATAGTTACATATATATATTTACATATATCCTACATCATAACGACTAAATCTATTTGCCAAATATCATTCCATGCAGTTTCTTAGTTTTTTGTGTACATCGTTTCGCCCTGTAACTCGTTAATCGTAGTTCAATTTGTATTTGTAATTTGTTTGTTTGATAAGTAGTTGACCGCAAAATTTATTACTATTACTATTATTATTGAGTAACTTTAAGTAATCGTTTTGTTGACCCGTCTCCCACCCACCGCCAACCTCAGCAGTTTGACCAAAACTTACACATTAATGCCTCGAAATAAAAAAGTAAACAAACCAAACGATACGACAAAAACAACAAACAATCAACAACAACAAAGAAAACCGCTATCTATGTAGTTGTTATTTTTTTTCTTTCTCTTAATTTATATTTTTTACCCTTGTAGCTCAGCTTTACTAAACTCACCGTAGAAATCGTAGTCAAATTGTAAATATGCTCAAAATCAACAATAAAATCGCTCTATCTTCAATCTATCCTCTCTCTATCACTCTCTCTTTTTCTCTTTCACATACACGAATACACACACATTTACTTTCTCCCTCACTCTCTCCTTCTTTAATATATATATATATTTTTTTTATGTATTTATTTTGATCTTAGTGGAAAAAAGTTATACATAAAATGCAAAAAAGGCTTCGCATAAACATACTCTTTCTCTCTCTCCTTCACCCTGTCCCTCTCCCTATCCCCCTCCCCATTATCCAAAACTCAAAGCAACCCCAGTCAACAATTAAATCCCGCTAATTACAATGACAACAAACAACAAAGCAAAACAACACACAAAACAAACACCACAAAAAACATTCTCTCTCCTCTCGCTCTCTCTTTCTGTCTGTCTAAACTTCAACTTTATATGTACGTTATGTAGGCATATTCTCAACAGTTTCAGTTGCAGTTTCAGCGCCAAAAAGCAGGCTATAAATTGATGTTAGGCAGTTATAGAGTAGGTGCGTAAACTTCTACAACCAACTTCACAGCACAATTTTCAGCAAATCTCAAATTCTCCCTATCACACAAAAACGTTATACTCTAAAACTATTATCTTTCAACCAAAAATCCACTCCAAAAATACTTAAAATCCCCCCAAAAAAAACCTATCGAACAAATCCAACACAACGAAATATCATAACGAAATGTTAAAGACGCCTATCGATATGGCTATGATGTCGGAAAGACTGGAAACTTCCATCATGAGACGCGTGGCCCGGACGGTGTTACTTATGGTTGCTACGGTCTGATCGATCCCTATCATCTGCTTCGCGCCACACATTATGTGGCTGATGTACATGGCTACCGCACAGTGGAGCCGGAGAAACCAGTGGAGACATTCCCGCCCGGTCTATACAATGAGACGAAAGGTGGTCCGTCTAAGCCTGGCATTCTGCTCCAGTGGGACCAACTTTACTTCCCCATTGGCTGCGGCAAATTCATAGACGGTGCCGTTCCTGACATACCCTATTTCATCGTGGATGAAGTAAGATGATGCAATGGAATCCCATGCGCACAGTGACTTATGTGCGTTCGTCTTTCTAGAACAAGCACCACACCAGTAGCTCAACCGGCTCCTCAATTAGCATTCCACCACTGAAGGGTGAGGCACAGAAGAGCTATAAAATTACCAAGCAGGGACCGAAGGGTCTGTTCAATACGGGCGAAGGACACACTTACGAGGGTCCTGGCGATCAAGCTCCGTCCTCCCATTCGGTGGCAGCCCTCAGACCCGGAAACGCAGGCGGCAGTGAGCTTTTGACTGCGATCACCCAGATTTGGGGCGGATTCAAATATTTGTGTTTCAGATGATGGAAGGTACACACCAGATAATAGGCCTTACGATCATATTGTGGGCCCCCAAGGCGGCCAGGGCGGTTTCGGCCCCAATGGAGGACCGTTTGGTCCGAACGGAGGCTTCGGTCCAAATGGCGGACCGAACGGTCCGAATGGAGGTTTCGGCCCCAATGGAGGATTTGGACCGAACGGACCTAAAGGTCCAAACGGTCCCAACGGCCCAGCAGGTCCTGCTGGCCCAAAAGGTCCCAACGGGCCACCTGGCCCCAAGGGACCTCCTGGACCACCCGGACCACCGGGACCTCTCGGCGTGGGACTGGGAGCCCCAGGAAAACCGGTATATAAGGAAGGCGATCGCACTACCAGCGGGGCTGGCAACAACATTAGCGATGGAGATGCCGACGGCCCAGGTGGCGGTTCCGGCGTCGGTGACGGTGACAGATACCGCCCTGGCAATGGAGCCGGTCGCGGCGATGGTGGTAAATACCGTCCCGGCACTGGCTCCCGACCCGGTGACGGTGATGCTCATCTGGTCGGCAGTGGTTCCGGTCCAGGTCGTCCTGGCATTTACCGTCCCGGCCAAGGTTCCGGTGTTGGTGACGGTGATACTACCGGACCCGGACCTCTGGGCGGAGGCGATAGAATCCGTCCTGGTGGTGGTGGCAATATCATTGATGGTAATGTCTATCGACCAGGTGACGGTGGTGCCTATCGCCCAGGTGGTGACCTGAATATCGGGGCCGGCTCTGGCGGCCGTCCGGGCGGGGGTACTGGTGGCTACCAACCCGACAACAGTGGCGCCTATACTGGAGACACCAATACCGGTTTTCCTGGGGCAATCAAATACACATCAGGTTAGATCAATTGAGACTTGAAACTGCACCGCCGCACAGATAGAAACATAAAAATCTGAACAGGTCGCAGAGCGGCTATAGGGGGAGATAACACTTAAGTAATTGATTAAGCATTTCAGATAAGTCTAAACGATATTGCCCCAAATGCAAAGCGGCCTGTTCATATTTTTTCTCTGCTTTGCTGGCATAGACCTAAGTTCCATTTAAGCAATATATTATATAAATTGATATATGATATATGCCTACTTTATGCTAATGTACAATTAATTATGTTCTGTTTTAAGCAGTCTTGTTTACTTTCAGCCAAGAAACTTGAAACCAATATAATCTTAAAAACACCATTCTGTTACTGTTTCAAAATACACAATTCTCAAACTATATTATTCAGGCACAACTTTATACACACCCACACGCACACATACACACACAGCAGGGCAACTTTAGGGCACCCCATAGATATTTTTACTGTTATTAGAGCACTTTTGCTAAGAGCGCACAATCAAGCAATAAATATCAATATCTCTCTCTCTCTATCTCTCTATCTCTCTACCTCTCTATATCTCTTAACCTTTCTTTCTATGTCTGTCTCTCCCCCTCTCTTTACTGTCACTATCTCCTTCATCAGCTTTTGCTATCAAAGATTTATACTGTTTTTGATCGAAAGCCCATTCAATTATTGTTTATATGTTTTTCAATTTATCACCGTATTTCTGTTTTGTTTCTCAGCTCAGCATTTGGCTGAGAAATCACGCACCGTTTCACCAATATTTGACACACTTACTTAACCACAATTTCTCATTCATGCTTTCATGCACCAGAATGAAGCACACAGACACACATGCACACTCACACACACACACCTATTCAGAAAGCACACGCCCATCCATAAACGCTCATCTTTTTGGAAGCCTTGGCACATTTGTACAAATATTTATTTACACACACTGTCACGCCCCCATACATGATGCTTGAGCAACGTTACTAACTGTTAATGGTTTACAACTAATATTTTGGTTGATTTTGGTTTTGGAATTTGTTTTTGTTTATATTCTCTTAAACTTAATTTAGCCGTTAGTCAATCTGCATGTATTTTAGTATTTATTATTTATTTCGGTTTTGGTATCCTAGCACGCCCCGTAGTCGTAAGTTGTTTAGGTCTATCTAAATGCACCTCGTACCTAGCAGCACCTAGGGGTATCTACCCGTATATGTAGTACTGTAATGTACTGAATGCACAATATTGTAGTTAGTCCTTAGCTAATTTACACTTATACGTCGTAGCACACTCTTTGATTTATATCGACACAAATTTAATAATCGTTTGCTTTGCATCACGTTACTCTTTATTCCCCATAGGAGCCGGTAAATATAATCCTAAAAGCGGAAGTTATAGGGGTAAGTTACAGAAATATTTGAATATGTTCGGGCTTTGCTTATTCACATTTTTCATTCAATGTAGGTGTTAATGAAGGAAAATACTATCATGATGATTCTGGTAAATATGTGCATGTTGAAGGACCCACTGGACCACCAGCTCCACCATATGTGCATATAGTTGGACCTGAGGGCGGCTTCGGCGGCAATGGAGGCAAAGGCGATGGCGGCGGATTCGGTCCCAACGGACCCGGCGGACCAAAGGGACCTGGCGGACCCGGCGGACCACGCGGACCAGGCGGTAAGATAAAAGAATTCCTTAATTAATTCAATGAAACCTCATGCCAACTCAACTAATTAATTACAGGACCAAAGGGACCCCCCGGCCCACCCGGACCACCAGGTATGTTGAACGTTTGATCTAACTTAAGATAAGAAAAGCTTAACACACAACACTTTGGTGATTTGACTGTTTCGGGCTATGGTATAAATGTAATGAAAATTCTTATAGGACCACCCGGACCTAACGGACCCGATCGTCCAGGACCTAAAGGACCATTCGGTAAGCGCCAAACATTGGCATAGCTTAACTTGATTGTCTTTAATCTGATTGATTGATCTTTTTAGGCCCACCAGGACCTCCCGGACCACCCGGTCCCACACGTCCAGGCCCACCCGGACCACCCGGCCCTCAACGTCCAGGCCCACCAGGACCACCAGGACCTCCCGGTTTGTAGCTCCGGCATACCATTTGAAAATGGCTCATAAATAACTTCTTTTACTTTCCCATTCAAAGGCCCACGTCCACCATACAAGCCAGATGATCCCAGATATTCGAACAAGGATCCCGAAGCTTACCTGCCGCCAGTTGAGGGTAAAATCGTCCCACATCCACCATCAACCTCACAAGTCATTCAGCCGAGTTTTAAGCCACCAACTTTCAAGCCAAATTACGAACATAACGATAATTTTGTGATTAAGAAAGTGCCAACTACTAAACCACCACTAACCTATATTCCTCCTTCTTCCCCAACTACCGTTCCTATCCACGTTCCTGCGAATCCCACACCACGACCACCAACCAAAATAATTACCACGACTCAACCAAAGGTCCCGGCTATCACTATTAATACGGAAAGACCAGTAAAAGGCATTACAAAAGTACCAACGGGTAATATAATTACACCTAAGACACCCACACAAGCACCCACACGCAGACCAACACCAGCACCGACACCGACACCCACACCATACAAACCAATACAGCCACAACCGCCACACTTTGTCAACACTCCGAAGCCGGTGCCCGTGGTACCGATCGAACCAATACGACCAACGATCAGTGTGCCGACATATAACCCATCGACACCCAGGCCATTTGAGCCAGCACCGACCAACAGACCGACTGCCCGACCACCCATTTACATTGAACCGAAGCCGGTGAAACCGGTTTACGTTGACCGAACGCCAATCACCAGCAAGAATGTAACTCCACGTCCCTCTCCCCCATTGCATGTGACGTCGCAACCGCCAAGCAGCGAAACCTGCGTTTGTAATGCCGATAAGCCGCACTCTTCAAAGCCAACCTATACCTCCTCCGCATCCTATCCCAACTCGAATCCGGCCTCGGTCGACTTTAACAAACAATTCACCGGCTTCAATGGAAACCCGAATTTCGGCAGCATAATGAACGCCATGTCACTAACCCAACTGCCCGTCGTGCCACAGGCACCTGGCCTGCCGGCCTTCTATCCACCCGACAAGATTCCTAAGGGTGCTGTGATCGCCTTCATGCCCGTGGTCATACTGCCAGCGGAGTACTACGCCAATTGCGATGACAATTCGATTCACACGCCAAACAAATATCAAACTGTTGATCCCTTCCCACTGGGTGTCCAGCCAGCCACGATACCGAGCAGCTTCAGTGTACACTCAATTTTCTCGGGCGCCGGACCGAAGGATCAATGCATGTGCCCATGCTCCTGCACCCAGAATCTGGACAAATATCACAAGAAACGCGAGGCTAATCCAGCAGACGCGCCCGAGGTGACAGCGACTGTTGAGGAGAACGTCAAGCCAGTGGAACCTGTTGCTGAAGCTTCCACGCCTGTAGAAGTTAAGGCTGAGGCACCAGTTGCTGCTGCTGCCACGCCTGTAGAAATCAAGGTTGAGGCACCAGTTGCTGAGGCATCCACACCAGCTGAAACCAAGGCTGAGGCACCCATTGCTGAAGCTTCCACCCCAGCTGACACCAAGGTTGAGGCACCAGTTGCCGAGGCATCCACACCAGCTGAAGTGAAGGTTGATGCACCCATTGCTGAAGCTTCCACCCCAGCTGAAACCAAGGTTGAGGCACCCATTGCTGAAACCAAGGCTGAGGCACCCATTGCTGAGGCATCTACCCCAGCTGAAGTGAAGGTTGAGGCACCCATTGCTGAGGCATCCACGCCTGTAGAAGTCAAAGCTGACGCACCCGTTGCTGAGGCATCCACGCCTGTAGAAGTCAAGGTTGAGGCACCCGTTGCTGCTGAGACTAAGGTGGAGCCTGTGGCAGAGTCGACAACGAACTAGAGACACTGCAATTGACGTCTGAACGTCTCCGAAACTCCCCTCAAATGATCCCAGTTCCCGCCTACCTCCCGCTCCCAGCACCACCTGTAATCTCTGCACTACTCCCGCAATCCGCAGTACCTCAACTAATCCCAATTGGCCAGTTAACCAGCGTAGTCTAAGTGTTTTTATTAACGAGATAATACTCTCAGCCAGTAAAGGTTAAAAAAAAAGATGTAAGAAAAAACATAAAAAAAGAACTAAAATGCAAAATAGAAAAGAATAGAAAATAGAGAAGGAATCAAGTGCCCATTGAATGTGTTCATTTAATTTGCTTTAAAGAAAAAAGAAGAAACTAATTTTTTGTTCTTGCTGTAATCGAAATGCACTCTAAGCTTCCTGTCAACTATCAGCCGGGCCAAGACTATTCCGGACTCGGCTAAATCTTTTTCTATTTACTTAACTCTTTTGCATCTTGATATTTGGCAGTGGCGAAAATAGAAGGAAATGAGAAGAGAATTGTGAAAAAAAAAAAAACGATGGAAATCCAGTAATTGTTTGTGACATGTTGTTTATTATGCATTTTTATATATATCTATGTATTAATTTGTATTTTGTTCGCCTTCTTTAGATTTTAGTTGATAGTTTATTTAATTTCTATTCTAATAATGCTTGAAGCGGAGAAATGAATTGTTATGTCGAATGTGAAATTATGAAATTAAATAAAATGTAAGAAAAATCAATGCCCATAGTTGTTTACCATTTTCCGTTTCCTTTTCCACGCCAACGAAGCCAAGAAAATATTATTCTTTTTCGGTGCCGCCCGAAAGTATGCTATGAATAAATTAACCAATTGCAGCTGGCAGAAGCAGCGAAGCAACAGAGCAAAAACCCAGACATCTTTTTGTATCTTGAACAGTTTGTAAATGGTAATTTGGGGTATAATGGGTTTTGTTAAACTGCAACAGACAAGAGGGCGTGGCAGACCCAATAAGATATATTATATATACATATATAGAGCTACAATAGAGATGTCTGTGTCTTTGTTGGTTCCTTTATATGAGATAAATTGAGCACACAGCTTTGCTATAATTGAGGTCGATAACATTCATAAGCCTAAGTCAATAAGTCATATATCTATCGTGCATGGATACAAGCCATATATTAGGATTTAGAGACGTAAGTCGTTCAGGGTATTTTCTAGTTGAGCTTTCGCATTAAATTTCTTTCACAGCTTCCAGCAGACGGATTGAAAAAAAAAAAAAAAAAATAAAATAATAAGTAAATAATTAAGTCTCTTATTTTCGCAATTTAAATATGTTTTTGTAACAATGACTGTATGATGAAAAGGAACTTTTGGGTTCCTTGCTGAGCTCTGGCCTGACAGTCAGTCAGACATTCACAAACAAAAGGCTTTGCTTACATTAAGAGGAAGTTTACTTAGTCAGAGCATTTTAATTTTGTGAAAATAATTCCAGGTATGCATGTTTAAAATTATATTAAATGTTTCATTTCTGAGAGGTGTCTTGTTATCCTTTCACGTTGATTGTTATTCCAACTTGGGCTCGTTGAAGCTAAGGTAACGAATAACGCTTTTTATGAATAATTTAAGACACGAACAAAATTCCTGTTGTCTGTTGAGGCTTGAAGCAAAAATGACTTAATATTCAGCCTCAAATAGACAGCAACTTGATTTAAGGCAAACATTAAAGAACTTTGCACATAATTTGGATGGAAGCTCTTACATGCGTAAAGTAAAAGTCGGCACAGCTCATGAATCACTTTCAGTCCATAACTCATCAGCTCTTGCATAATAAGTGCAAAGCTGAGAGGTTCAATTGATAACATTGCCTTAGGGTTCACCTTGAATTGCGTGCTACGACGCGCTGTAACCCAGTTTTTGTTTAGTTTTACGACTCTGACAAGTCAATATTGAGAAGTTGTAATTCCCGCATCGCCCAAGCCCAAATGCTGTTCACACCGTTTCGTTGGTGCTAAAAGTGATATGCACATCGAGGTTATATTTACTGCGAGCTATATATGAGCTAAAGTGGATGTAAAGTGTTTTACAAGAACTTTATAGATCGCACAGCAGCTGCAGGCGAACAAAGAGCCAGTCTGAATAGCTGAAGTCAATCATCCCGTCGATTACAGTAGTCTTCTTACGAGTATTCAAATTGGCCAATTAGCAGTCACACCTAAACGTTTCATAAATGAGTTTGGAGTGCATGGACCCAAAGGTGCTTTTTCTCTATTGTCTTTGTCTTTGCTGCGGTAAGTCGAGCAAAGGGAAGCAGCCAAAGCCGTGGCTCAATACCAGAATAGCTCGCAAATATTTGCAGAAGCGCCGCAAGTTTTTGGCCCCTGCCGCAGATTTGTCCCTGTGTGTGTGTGTGGGTAGATAATTGGAATTAAAGATATAGCAAGCAAACAATTTTTCAGTCTATAGTTCTCATACAAAAATAAAAAAAAACAAGTAAGAAAGCTCTAGTCGAGACTGCTCGACTACGAGATCCCCTGAACCCTTGGAGCAATAGATATTTCAATACTTTTTCGCGACTTTCAGCTTACACAAGAAACACGCACACACACACACACGCACGTACGCAAACACAGGCATACATACACACACACGCATACAGACACACATACACACACACACGCATACATACACAAACGCATACACACACACACATACACACACACATACACAAACACATACACACACAAGCAACCATGCATAAACACGCATGGGCTGCAGTGTGCGCTTACTATGAGAACTTAATTGTTTAATAACTTTTTTTTTACTTTTATGGACGTACGATCTTCATGAAACTTTTAGATTATGATTATAACACGAATATGCATGTAATTGCCAAAGCACAAGTCTCTAGTATTTGAAATACGCTTTTTTACAAAAGTGAGGGTGAGGGGGTGAATTTAGAGGTGGGGGGTAAATTTTAACAAAAACCGAAATTGTATAAATTGCATATAAGCATACATTAAAAATTTGGAGACTCTAGCCATAAAGGTGTAGAAGATATAATTTTATAACTGGGTTTCGATAAGGGTTTTTATCGATAAAAAATATCGAGATGAGTTATCGATTTTTAATGATAAACTTGATATGCGCGCTGTAATTACGGACATTTTAAAAAAGTCTCTAGCTCTTATATCTTCTGAAATCGACGCGTTCATACATACGGACAGACGGACAGACGGACAGACGGACAGACAGACGGACAGGGCCAAATCAACTCAGCTCGTCACCCTGATCAAGAATATATATACTTTGTGGGGTCTGCCACGCCTCCTTCTCCCTGTTACATACATTTCAACAAAACCATTATACCCTGATTTCCCATTGAAAATGGGTTCAGGGTATAAAAATATATATATATATGCCCGTCGGCCCACATGAAAGAAAGCGATCTGCCTAAACAAAACGATTTCCAGTTTACGTTTGTTTGTGTTTGCCAAAGCTTAAAGCGCAAATATCTTAAATTAAACTCACGCACTGGCAACAGACAAGCGACAAGCCGCAAGAGACAGCCAAAATGAGGCATTTATTTTGTCACCTGCCCCATACAAATAGTAATAATAAGGCATAATCAGCCGGCCGAAAGGTCGTTCGTATTATATAATTTGAGGCTAAGCCTAGAATGCCCAGGAATCAGAAGGTAGGAATAAATAGGTTTTACAACTCGAAATTATATTTCGTGAAAAAAAAAAAAACAACTTAAATAATAAATTTTTCCCTAATTGGTTTTTAAGTGAAAATAATTTAACATTACATTATTAATTTGGATTTGTAAGGCCCTGCCGGGCCCAGCCCTGAATACGTAAGTGCGCCGCCTTACGTGTCGTATGAGTAATAAAAGTAACGTAGCCGCCACGTTTTAGCTGGTCTGCGAAGTGCGACTTGACGCTGGGCCAAGCTTATTTTATTATTGTTTCGGTTTGTTTGTTTCGGCAACGTCGACGTAGACGTCTCCGTCTGCGTCTCCGTCGACTTGAGCGCAGCAACTCAGCTGGAAAATGAAAAATATAAATTGGCCCCGCAGTCTGGGAAACAGAATTATTTAAAGTACAAGCGTTGCTTCAGCCAGTTGTCTCTGCGCCGTTCTCTCTGCACATTTGCCATTCATATAGCAAAGCCAGCCAATTCATATAACATCATGTATGCCAAGTGCTGCTTACCACTTTTGGTAGGTATTCAGAGGGCATAGCAAAAGGAGTTTAGCTAATCCTAAAAGTGTGTGTAATTCATTTGAATGTAGCTGCTGCTTCTGTGCGGTGCGATTGCCAGGAGCGAGCCGGTGCCGGCGACACAGGATGTCAAAGCGAACGATTTAGCGACTGCCGAAACTTCAGCCAAGTGTAAGAAGCGTCTGACGCGGAAACATAACGATTGCTCAATTATAACAATTTCCACTGCGCCCTTAAGTGCTGAACTTGGGCGGTTTATTTGGACAGGGCTCGGGCTATCCCAACTATGGCTATAATTATCCCAATTATGGCTACAGCACGGGCTACTACAATAGACCCAACACCGGCTACTATCCCAGCTCCGGCGCTGGCTATTATCCAACCAGCACCTACAATGGCGCTGGCTTCTACCCCAGCACGGGAGGAGGCTATTATCCCAGCACGGGCGGCGGCTATTATCCCAGCACCGGCTACTACCCGACCACAAATATATTGGGCACATCGGGATATGGCGGCTACGGTGGATATGGAGGTAATGGCGGCTTAAGACAATATTCGGGCTATTGGCAGCCGGAGTATAGCGGCCAGCGGTATCGTGGCTATGGCTACTATCGTAACACCGATCGCTATGGTCTGCCGATAGCCAGAGATCGTGATTACTATCGTGATCGCGGCAGCTATGGTAGCTATGGCGGCTATCGTGGCTATGACTAATGCTTAATGTCGTTGTCTTTGTCGCTGTCTTTGTATTTGTTGCTGTCTTTGTCTTTGTTTTTGTTTTTATTTCGCTGCTGTGTATATAACGCTTTTGTTATTCATCATGCTACTCAAACTAGCAATAAAATTTTAATGCCTACTAATCTCGTTTAAGCAGCATTTCAATAATCTATCTGACAAGTCTCGTTTCAGCTGCAACAGACACACAATTATGATAATATAGATTGGTAATTGTGGCTGGGCTACGCCCAATTGCACGCTGAAATTTGTCACTGGGTGTCATATGAGAGTCCAAGCGGCATATAATTATGTGTGTGTGTGTGTGTGTGTCTGTGTGCAGCTGAGCTTAATGTGTGGTAATTGTTGTCTTAATCATCTTGTCTTGCCCTGTCATTGCGCATGCAAAGCCCAGAATTTCAGCTAAAGCCTAAAAGTATGCTACGTCTGCTGTCAGCTTTAATAGCGAGCGCCCGCGCTGCCAACTTTTGTTAAAAACCCCATTTGCGTTTGCTTTCTCTCTCGTTCCAATTCACAGGCTTGGTGCGCACCACATACGGCTAGCAGTGCGACAGAGACAGAGACAGAAGCAGCGAAGAACCAAGCAGCAACTGTTATGCTTCAGCAAACACCACAGCAGCAACTCCAACAACAACAACAACATCAACTACAACAACAACATGCAGTTGCAGCAGCATATAGTATAATAATAGCATTATTTTCGCAACGTTAGCTCGTAAAGTTTAGCATGCACTTTATTGCAATGCAGCCCGCATTAACTTACAAAACAGCCCTCGTATCTGACAAACGCATTATCACA